TTAATATTTTACGATAATGTTATGATTTTTTATTAAATTTGTGTATATATTAATATTATAGATTTTTGACGCTTTAAATTTTCAGAGAGAGAGAGAGATCTATTTGAAATAGTTATATGGTAAATCTTCGTAGTTCTAGTGTTAATAAGAAATAACGTAGCTAGACGATCGTAAGTTTTTAAGCCTTCACCATGACTAGACCGTATCATAGTATTCGTCATTCTTCTTGATCATTAAATAACTTTTAATATGTCTGAAGTTAAAATCAATATTAGATTATAACTTTTCAATTCTTAAGTCATTACAGAGAATTGAAGTTAATTAAGAAATTCTTTAATTTGACATTATTATGTTGTGCAAAATGCTAATTGCCCTCATTAATGTCTGCTTTTTATTTTATATTTTAATTACTATCTGATTCATCAAAAAGGTATGAACGCATTTTAAATTGTTCTAATATTAACAAGAGTGTACTTATATAGACAGATAGTCATTATTTTATCTCAAAGTGTATCGTGAACACATCGCTGAAAGTGTGTGAAGTTGAAAGCAATTAATTGTACAGAATTATGAATGAATTCCAAATTATATTAATTTCAATATAATTGATTGATTGCGAGTAATGAGTAAAATTGCACACTTTATTGACAACCATTGAAATTAATCTTGACTAAGAGCACTCAACAAATAAATGAATTGAAAACGTATATATGTATATATATATTGTAGTGGCAAGTGCAGATTAATTAAAATTTAATATTAGGGTGTGCTTATTTGGTAAACAAAGAAAAATTATATTTTATATTGTTTGATTACATGCCCTTACAAATCATTAAAATATTTAGTTTTTGAAATAACAAATGTTGATTTAACCAATGACAGTTTAAGCTATAAGCTCAAAAAGATTAGAAATAATTGAATTACTTAAAAAAATTAAAATTAAAGATTTTAAGTATAGCAATTAATAAATTAAATGTCATGAATATACATATAAACATTTATAATAATATTTAAATATAAAAAAATATGTTTTAAATATTGAAATACTTACTCACCCTAATAGTAATAAATATCCAAAGTGCAAGCTCTTGACAATTTTATTATCTATATTTACCTTTTTTTTTGCGATACGCACGAACATACATCGTACGCTTTTTACTTTGGTTGGCTACGTTCGCATTACGGTGATAACACATATTGTTATTTATATCGAGCAAATTCGATTGTTTACTATTGGATAAAAAGACAAGAAAAAAATTTTAAATGATAAAAATATGTTATATATTACACCAAAAAGAACAAAAGTTAAAAAAATACAGTAAAATGAAAAAAAATTAAATAATGAATAAAAATAAAATAATTTTTTCAAATTTAAAGTAAATTTAAGATTAATTTGTAAAAATTAAAAGTTAATAAATTAATAACAGTAGGAAAACGAACACTAAAATAACAAAATAAAAATTAGTAAATTGCAGTAAATACTATAAAAATTAAATTAAATTAAACAATATGTTTTAAAAATATTTAAAAAAAAATAAATGGTATGAGTGAATGAATTAAACTGAAAGTAATGATTTTTAATTACAAAAAATATAAATATATGATTATTCTCACTACTATTGCCATTATTATTATTGCTATTTCTACTACCATTGTAACTATTATTATTAACCGATAGTGCTAACGAATAGTATTTCTCATTTACTGAAATAAAAATCTAACTTAAAACTGATGATCTAATTGAAATGTAGTATGTTTCGATGGTCATTGCTTGCTTACATTTAATTTACTATCCTCAATTGAAAACTCATGTCTTAATGTCTCAAATGATTTGATTACAGTTTTGTGTGTTGATAAATTTGATTTTGCTTTGCGCGAAATCATAAAATCACATAAGGCTTTAATCAATTTTACCACAAATATTCGCAAACAATTAACAATTATAAAAGTGAAGTCATAATTTTTATGACAATGTACAATTTGCGATAGTCATAAATAATTTTTCTAAATGGCGAACCCAAATTTTATTATCAGTTTATCAACACTTAATCGATTTCGCTAATATGTGCGTAAATATATGCCTATTTGTGAGACTACTTATAAAAATATGCCAACATATGTATATATGTTATTCCTATTATCGATCAAATACACCTGATAGCAAGTGTATGGTAATTTTTACGAGTACATTAAATGGTCTTTAAGCACCTGCTTATAAGATAGGCAGTGATTTTCTTAGATAAATATTAAGTATTTAAGTATTTATCATTAGATGTCATTAGTTGTCTATAAAAATTGTGAAATGCACTTATATATGGAAATGTTTAAACGTATAGTTGTTTACATATCAAAAATAGCTAAATAAATATTTCAAATAATTATCTCTACGGGTTTAAGAATTTCGTAGTTGAAAATAATTAATCAATAGTAATAAATTATTAAATGTAGCAACACTAAATTATATTTTTAAAGCAAAATGACTTTTATTCAATGCAATGCATTTTATATTGTAATTTCAATCTCATATTCATGGTTCATTTGCAGATGAAACTTATAAAAATAATATTTACATTTCCAATATTCGATTATCATAGTTATATTTTTTCAAAGTGGAACGGAAAGGCTCAAAAACTGTTAAAAAATTTAAAAAATTAAATTGAAATAAAAGAAGTTACACAGAACATGCCTCTTATTATGTATATTAATATACTTGTACATATACATTAATACATATTTATTATTATACAATACATATTTATTATTATTTTTACTTTTTTGTATACTTGGTAACTCTATTAAAAAAAATTATATAAAATTAATACTTTGCAAATTTTTTGAAAAAATTATTTTAAGTTAGATGCAATTTAATTTAATTTTATATTTTTACTTTTTTAGTTAATCGGTAACTCTAAGCCAAAATATGTAATAAACTGTATATAAACACACATTGAGATATTTTTAGTTTTTCTTTTTGCGAGAGGTAGCGACTTTTTTCCAATATACAAGTATCTTGTAGAGCACACGAAAATTTTTGAACGTACTTTTTAATACTTTATATATAGTATACAAATCTTAAGTCATAATTTATACTTTTTTCAAGGTGTGGTAACTCTCTTTCAAAATATGTTTAATGAAGATTGAATAATCAGTATTTTGTTCGATGGCTAGTACCTCAATTTTAAAACTTTCAAAGTAATATTTATTTTTATTTTAAATTACCTACAATAGATCTTTTTGCTGCATTTTGTTTCAATATTCAACAGAAAAAATATTAAAAAACAAAAATATCTTTATATATTTCAATAGAAATAAGATAACTCTAATATTTTTTTTAATGTAAGCTCTTTTTTATGTTAATCATGCTCAGGTTGCTAGCTTACATGGTCCATAAATTTAATTTATTTTTAATTTATACCCTAAACAGGGTATATTAAGTTTGCCACGAAATTTGTAACACCCAGAAGGAATCGTCGGAGACCCTATAAAATACATATTTAAATGTTCAGCTTGATGAGCTGAGTTGATTTAGCCATGAACGATCGGAATTAAGTGCTTGTTCTTTCATTTGACAAGGTATCTTCACGAAATTAGATCGGAATCAAGTTCTTGTAATTAACCTTTATATTTGTGAGGGGTATTATAGCTTCGGTGCAACCGAAGTTAACGCTTTTTCTTGTTTTTAATTCATATTAACAAATACTTGGCAGCCCTATATTTAACTTTGTCTAAATTAAAGTAATAAACAATGACATAAGTGTATGTAAATAAATATATTAAAAATTCTTTTAGTTTATGGTAAGATCCCAAAAATAAATATACGAGTAAATATATACAATAAATCAAAAGGATTCGGTTCACTCTCATACGTACCTATTTACCAACTGATTACGCGACACTTGTACCTCAATTAGTTTATCGACTTCGGTATCGTAAATTATGACACACATGCGTCCTCACACCTTCGCATATAAATATGAATTTCAACTGTTGCCATTTTGGCAAATGCCATGATTAAAAAAGAACATTTCGAGTATGTAGAACAAGTCAATCGAATGTAGTTCGAAACTTATCAATACGCCTGAAAATACCTGAAAACAATTTATGTTGCAACGTGTAATTGATTATATGTTTTTGGAATGTTGACAGCTGTATTAAGGAACTTTTGGTAAACGATTGTGACAGTGAAGTCACCGCTCGAAGTGATTTACTTTTCTAGAAAGCAGTAATTCTTTTCAAACCCATTACGTTTTGGTCATAAAATTTAATTGCGACAAAAGATTGTTTCTTTGTTTCAAATGGGTAATTATTTGACAGTAAAATGAAAAACAATATTGTGGTTTTAATTTGATTTATAATTAATTTTTCCCTTTGATTTTTATTTCTATAGAATTTTTTTATAACCATAATACGTATTCAAAACCTTTCTTAAACTTTTATATCACACAAGCATTTCAGCAGTTTAAAACTATACATATTTTCTAATCCTCGTTTAATACCCAATGTTATTTAATTGAATATAAATATAGTTGGGTTTACGAAAGTCAGAGAAAACATAATCGACTTGCCGAAAATTTAGAAACATTGCTCTCGAACTTTTTCGTGTGATTCAATGTAGATGTTTCGATCTAGTGATAGTTTCAGACGATGGAACTTTAGGATACAAACTACTGTGCTTTATTACCGTAAGAAGTAGATTGATCTAAATCCATTATGGGAAGTTGCGTTATTTTATGTCGTTCAAGAAGACGAAGAAGAATGAAAATTTGGAGGGCATATGTATACCACATAATATTATTCCTTCGAACGATCTATCACTTTTCTTGGCGAAGATTTCTGTGTTTTTAAAATATCAGTAAACGACGACTAAATAAAGTACTTTTAGGAAAGTTTTTCGTTAAAAAATCGATCAGCGATGATAATGAGCGATAACAAGTAGGAGGAGAGGATCGAAAACGTCTATCATGAAAAAAAAGGACAACGATATTTCGATTGCTAGGTTAAGCTCTATTTGTGACTGATAGGTATACACAAAATCTAAAATAAATTTAAGAAATTAATATTATTATTGTTTTTTAAATAATCAATTTCATTTAATATTTTAAAAAAATCAGTAAAATTAACAACGGTAAAATAAACCAAAGTTCCGCATTTACTTTTTCAACACCATTCCACAGAGCACCCCAATCGTCACTATAACCAGTGAATTTATTGCAACCATCCGCTTCACATAGGTGACAAGTTTGTAGGTTTAAGCCAGCAGAAACGGATTTACAAGTGTCATCATCATCCAAAAATGTTGCACAACCACGTTTCGTAATGATGGTGTCATTGACTAATTAACAAATAATAATAATTTTATAAAAAATTCACAAGAAAATAAAAAAATAATTATTAATAATTAATTTTGTATTTTTTTTTACCGCCCACCTTTCAGTTTCACTACATAGCACACGTCATCACCCGTTCTGCTGGACATATGTCGACTGGGTTGAAAACGCCATTCATCATCATATTCATCAACGTCATTCTCATCATCTTCATCCTCGCTATTATCTTCGCTGTCGCCTTCATTGAACGTTGGTTCTTTGGTTGTATTACTTGTTGTGGCGGTATTTGTTGTATTACCAGGACCTAGAGTAGTATTTCTTGTTACGACAACCATATTCTCTGAGTTATCGCCATTCCCGGATGCTGGTGTTGTCTTATTAGAAGAGTTTGTTGTTGTAGCAAAATTTTTATAAAAATTGGATTGAGTTGTTGTTATAAATACGTTTAGTGGGTTTAATACTTACGGCAAATTCGCCGCAGATTTGTAGTTCGTTGAGATCCTCGTCATCATCGCAATCGTAGCAATCATAACATTGTAGTGCTGTGGAGAAGTAGTAAAATATTATTCTAATGAAATGCCCGTAATGAGTCCGGGGCATCGTGCTATAAGCAAATAGATAATTCCGCGCTGGGCAGTTATCATTAATTATAACATGTTACAAAAGACTTATTTTAAAGAAATTGTGAATTCAAAATTATGGATGGACGTTAAACATCTAAAAGTCTTTTTTCGAAACATAAGAAGGAAATACTGCAACAAAAAGTGAAAAGTTTAAACAAATTGAATAAGGGAGTTGATTGTTAAGTAGTTCAAGGTTTCTGGGTTCAAAACTCGAACACAAAAAATAAACCGAATAAAATAAACAAACGTAAATCTACAGATTGGCAATTAAACCAGAGCACAAAGTTTTACTTGATAATCGAATAACCATCGAGGGTAGACTAAAAACTTTGAGACTTTAGAGGTGAATCGAACACGTCATTGGCAAAGATTGGACAAATAACTACCGAGAAAGTACAATTAATATAGCAAAACAATTATCGGCTTTTAGTGGAACAATCGTCAACCAAGAAGTCATTCGAAATCAAAAAAACTTTATTCCGAAAAAAATTAACCTTAGCCAAAGGCAAGACTGAGCAAGTTCTACAGAAGCAGTCAAAAGTTATCTGCTCAAAATTATAGATAATTTGCTGGATTTTGCAGTACAGAAGTGAAAGAACCTCCATTAGCGTAGATGTAGCTTCCAAAAATGTCGAGAAAAACAAGCAACCATAATTTCGTTAACAGTTATTAATGTTCGGCAAGAGTTGGCACACAGCGCTTAAGCTTAAGTAATGCAGGTATCGGTTCGCAGTTGGGTACAAAAAACTGGTATTTGAAACAAGAGTCTAGTAAGTTGACAAGATCGCGATCTTAACTAGGAAACCGTTTTAATTACATATTGGTAGTGCAATTCTGTTAAAACAATAACAACGAATCTGTTCTGTTGTTGTAAAGAATCATCAATTTATCGCTTAGACTTTTTTATGCTATGAAAGAAGTAGAGTAGAAAGTTTGAAATCATGATTGTTATAATGATCAGCGTGATTAACTGAGTCTATATTAAATTTTGCGCATGTTATTTTCTCCTCAAAAAGTTGCTTAATTGTTGAAATCGCCAATATCGGACCACTGTAGCAAATAGCTGTCATATAAACTGACCGATCAAATTAAGTTCTTGTAAGGAAAAATTGTTCATTCCCTCGCATGAATTTTTACCCAAGACAATGACTGACACAGATCGGACCACTATAGCATATATCAAAATCAAGTTAAATCTATTTGTTTTACACTTTTATGATATAAGAATTGCACCTATAAAGGGTATTAAAGCTTCAGTGCAACCGAAGCTAACGTTTTTTGTTGTTTTATTATAATTTTCATTATGTCAAAACGCATGTTATTGTTGTTAGTGCCAATAATAATACCTAGCTAGCAGACGCATTGTCTGTACCTTATCACAAACCTTGTTCTTGGTGGTCAATATTATTTTTTGAATAGATAACAGTGATAATTACCAAAACATAATATGTGTGCAACTTTGTAAGAAAAACCTTTCTGAAAATCTAGACATTATGTATTGTATATACATATGTACATATTTTATAGTATACTTTGTACACTATTATCGATAATAATGCTCATATATTATATTTGCATATATACTTAACACTACGCAATATGTATAATACTATACATATGCAAATATATGAGCAGTGTTATCGATAATAGTATACGAATTCTCTCCCACACATATGCATACACAAGTAACTACACAAACACATCGAAATGACATTAAACCTCAAACTAAAATGACAAAATTTCCCTTTACTCATATATTTCATATGTGATATTATCTTTATCGCTCGCTTGTCAACAATTATATAACAAATTTATGTTGCTTGTATTCATATCCATAAACAAACTTTTGCTATTTTATCGCCAGCATTTAATATAGTTGTATTGTAACCTTGAATGTTTGCAAATGATAAGCGTACAAAAATCTAACACGTCATACTCACCACACTTCACCGTTATAGTGACTAATGCATAGTACTGACTTTAACAAATATATGTATAAAACCACATAGGTTTTATTCTACATGGAAAGAAATAAAATTTTTTTGGTTTTACTGGAAAAAAGTGCGCACTTGTCGGGCATTAGTGGGCGGAGCTTGGCAACTGATTACTTTAAAATCATTACTAAATTTTACCAATACCTTTAGACTCCACCATAGCGCCGTTAGTAAAATTTATAATCGTAAAAATTTGATTTACATATTCTATATTTATACATAGTTCATATACAAGTGCAAGGGTTTACGGCAGCATTCCGTAGCCATTACCTCTAGAACACACGTTGTATATTTGTTTGTAAATATTATACTACGATAGCCATTTTACAGTTGCTTAATGAAAATTATTAATGTAAATGAAAAATAATCAAAAAAATTGTCATCGAGTATTTTATTGTGGAATTTTAAAGTGTTTTTAGGATTTTATTTTGCCATACAAAATTTTAATATTTACATTAATTAATTACCTTAGCGTATCAATGTAATGCGTGTAATGCTATGTGTATTTCAAAGTAAAATGTACTGATAAAATAAAAGTTTATAAAGCGGTTTGAAGGTTTTTAAATACACAAACAGAATGGTCAATTTATATGGCAGCTGTGCTATAGTGACTTGATCTAAGCAATTTCTTTGGAAAACGCACCATTGTCTTAAGCAATAACATATGCGAAATTTCGTGAAGATACTCGTCAAATAAAAAAGTTTCCCATAAATCAACCTGATTCCGATCGTTCAATTTATATGGCGACTATTTGCTATAGTGGTCGGATAACGGCCGTTCCGACAAAAGAGAAGCTTCTTGGGATGAAAAAAATGTGTGGGAAATTTCAGACATATATTTCCTAAGCACTTTCTAATCGGCTGAACGAATCCTTCACGAGGCGGTAGAATGAGTCAAGTGGCCACAAGACGACAAATTTGATGAATACGAGAATTAAGAACGTAAATTTTTGGTTAAAGTGACACCAACAAGGTGTCCACTACTTCCGTTATTTGGACTCAATGGTATAATTGTCAAAGGGGCTCTAGTCCAGTTCTGTTATGACCATGCTCGAAGAATTTAAAATATTCATTACGGCAAAGCTCCCATAGTCATGTGTTATATATCATTTTAATTCGTATTAGAGTTCAACATATGACATATTTATTATCTAAAAATAATGTACAAACCTTCAATCATAGTAATTCCAAAAAGTCCTAATAACAGCAACAACGTCAATGCATTTTTATTATCCTTGAACACTTTTTTAAACATTTTAGAAACTTTTACTATTTTCCGCAATAAAACTCACACACTTCTTCAAACTTTTAGCCTCCAAAACTTGTACTAAAAACTAAGGAGTCCAAATAATTAAAATGTCCCAAAAAAACTTCAGTCAAATGTGTCAAATAAGCGAAGTCAATTTAGAAATGAACTGAACTTTTGCAAATTACTAGCAAAACTGAGTGAAATGATTCGAATTTCGTTTGCAAAATATTTCGGCAATCACATCTGTGACAACGAAAGTGGAAATTAAAAAATTATTGAAAATAAACAACAACAAGATATACACCAAAAAGAAGTCAATAAATTTGTATCTAACTGCTGCAAGACAAGAAGCTCTTTCAGCATCATATTTGACATGTATGTATGTATTTATATATGTTCACCGCAACAAATTGGTTGTGGTTTGAGTTTTCAGCATGACTGTGCATTAAAATATTGATAACATCTTCCTTGGAATTGCCTTTGCAGCTGGTTTGTCGCTGGTTGTTAGTGGTTGCTTGTCGGAGACAAAAATTAAACATGCTATTCATTATCTGCTCCTCTTACGGTAAATATGTATGTAGATGGAGAAATGAAGTATTTTCGTCGAAATATGCGAATATGTTTATTTGTATTCAATGATATGATATGCTAACTACTTTTATCAACTGAGACGCAATAGTGTTGTGTTTTAAATACCTTACCGTTGTTAATTACACCTTTTTTAAGTCGAGCCTTTGTGTTTTTATTTGTGGTTCTCGTAGTTTTGTTGGACGAAAGTTGCTTTAAGTATGTATTCTCTTCTTCTTTTGAAGTTGAATCTCAATCTTATGACTTTGAGTGCTGAATTTTTAAGGATGGGAGTATCCTCTCTTATGTAATGCAGTTTATTTTTCAATAAAATCGCTGAGTGATATCTACTGATATATTTTATTGCGCACTTTGGCTTTGAGTTTTCAAGCTGAGGTAATCTGTTCTCTCTGGCAGGATTCTGAAAGTTCTTCGATAGGGCTAATAAAAAACCAAACTAAAGAAGTATCTGGTATTAAGGTCATTAATATGAGTTCTGGTTGGAAAGCTGGAAAGACTTCCCTTAATCACCCAAGCGAAGTTAGAAACATCTCACTTATCAGCACATGCTAGATTTTTAGACCAAAAATATATGTTTTAAATAGATTACAGACACATAGACATGAGGTAAGGTTTGGAAAGTTTAACCTGTCGGCTATGTATTTCTCAGAAGAGTAGATACCAGAATAGCGATTAAAGAATAGAGTAAGATAGCATATTGTGATATTAATAGAGTAAAAATTTATGCTCCTAAAGATTAATGCAACTTAAAACAACGGAGAGTAGAAGTTTAGGTACATTTAAACTATTGGGAGCATATACGAACAGATTTTTAGAAAAAGTACTTACCTTACTACTTACCAGTTTCATGTATTCTGTGAACAAAATTGTTGGATCAGCCCTAAAAATCGTTAAGTTATTGTTGAGGTTATCTGGGAATCTTTGATTCCCTCCACACTGCACCAGAATGTGTTTAAATGAAAATATTTCTATATTGACGGATCAGGAACCTTCAAGGGTAATAAGTCGTGCAACTTTATATATATCGTCCCAGATATTTTCGTCCATTTGTCGAATGTGACATTTTAGTTCCCTATATTTATATACATACAAGCATATAAATTCATATGTAATTATAGTTGTTTTTTAACAATGAATGTGTGTTTGAACATAGTAGTACTACGGTTTGAGGAGGACAAGCGAAGATCATAATTTATTAACCTAATATAAACTGAAAGTCATTCCCATTAATTTCTTCCCTTGAGAAGCTTCATATAGAATACGAGTTCTTTAGTGTGGCAAAATGGTGCTCTGAAGTATTGCTGTAATGTAAAGTTAAGCCAATATTTCAGAACAAATCGGCAAGTTTCCCCATATAAGTGTTCTGATCTCAATACATATTGTAAAGATTTTTTCTAAATAAAACGTTGTTTTGGTTTTGTTTTATTGTTTTTTTTTATAGTAATACGGGTTACTTTATTGTTTCAATGTCGGTAATGAGTTCTAATATTTATATTTACGTAGTGATTACTTTTTCCTTTTAAAATATGCATTAATTTATTTTGTAAATTTTTCTAGTTTCAAACACTTTCATAACTTCTTTTCAAATAAAATTATTTTTGCCTTAACAAAATGTGTACTTAACTAGGTAATAATTTTTTCAATGGTTTTTGCTAGTAAATACATTTGTAATAAGCCTTAGTGGTGCAGTTGCTGCAATATATGTATGTAATTAAATTAGTTTACTTTTTATTAAAAACCGTAAATATTTCTGCATCTCTTTTTCTCCAACATCAAACCAAACTTTTCTTATTAAATCATACTATTATTTGTGTGTGTGTGTATGTATTCATACATTTATGCAACTACACATACATGCTTAAGCCTATTGTGTTGTTAACATGTCATTTTATATCTAAATTACTTCGATTTTGTTCTTGTTTGCCAGCAAATAATTGTAACTTCTAGCAAGGTAAATGAGGTTTTCTTAGTATCGTATTGTATGAAAGCCTGTAAAACACACTTAGAATCTATTCGAATGCGCGATAACACTTGTCTATAAATTTTATGTGCAATTTGAACAAAAAAATACTGTAACAATGATTTAAGCAAAACGGCTGTGACTCATACGCCATGGCATACTCGCACATAGAACACGTTGTCTCCAAAAAGTAAATAATTATTATAAGCGACGAAATCATGCTTTCAGATATATAAAAACATACTGGTTGTGAACAAATTGCGTTTTAAAGACAGAAATATTTATAGTTTTTGCATTAGGGTTGCCAACATGTTAAATTTTGTCAAAAAAGTAATAATAATGAAAAATATAATAATAATGGTCTATTTATACACTAAAAAATACAATTATTATGGCGCAAAACTTTTTTTCAATAGTGTTGCCACCTTATCTAAATAAAATGCTAAATTTGCAAATAGAAGGCTATTAATTACATAACACATATGTTTGTGTGTTTCGAAACGAAATAAAAATCCTTAGCATATGTTTTTTTATTAACATAATTTTTTAAAAAGTATTTCTGAAAAGTGTTGCCGCCTAACAGAGAATGAAACTGCTATAAAGCATGGGAAGTGCGAAGATTTGATTATAATAAGCACAAATTGAACTACAATAAGAAACAGTTATTCTGAGCAAAATGCACTAATTTAGGGTTTTTTTAAGATTGTTCATAACTTTTTCCTATAGACATAAAAATATGTGAAAATAGCTAACACCTTCATAGTTTTTTGACAAAAGTTAAAAAGAGACATTAAACAAATATATACACAAAATTTACATAAATCAAATAAGTGAGGTTAAGTTGGCTAAACATCAAATGAGAATTATTGAGGAAAATATTATAAAATTTAAAAATATATAATACCTTTTGGTATTTTTTAAATACGAAATACTTTTCGTTTACCATAAAAATTATTGGTGTATAGTTGCCAATTTCAGTTTTCATTTATCTTTCAAAATACTCAATAAAATTTTTTCAAATTGCAAATTCGTAATTTAAAAATTTTAAATGATTTGCCACAAGAAAAACAAAATTTGTATAAATTAAAAATGAGATTATATTTACCATATGAGCAGAAATGAAAAATCGTATTAATATAAATAATATTATTTATATTTTTAATAAAATTCAAAGGAGTAAGAATTAAAATTTAGTATAGGATTGTAATTTTTAAAATAAGTTTTAATTATAGCAAAGTTTCATAAAAAGTTCAATTTAAAAAAATTTCAATTTGGGTTGCCACCTAATATACATTTAATAAGAGAAGGTAAAATGGTGTAGAGTTGTCAGCTTAAATTTTCATTTGTCTTTAAAATACTGTATGAAAATTTCAAAACTTGATTTGGCATTAATTGTTAAAAAAATACTCAATGTACATAGATTCGGAAGTTAAAAATTTAAAATTACTTGCCAAAACCAAAAAAAAAGATTTTTGTAAAAACTTACTAAGTGAGACTATATTTACAACGTGAGAATAATGCAAAGCTTTTATTGCTAAATATTACTTACAGTTTTAAATAAAACTTTAAGGTGAAAAAATAAAATTTCTTTGAATAGAATTGCCAACTTTTAAAATTTTATTTTTTAAATTTGTAAATTATTAACAAAAAAGTTATAACACTTAAAAGTTGCTTAAGAGTATTTATTTCAGAAGCAATTTTTTTAATAGGGTTGCCAAATAATGAAAAATTTTGTGAAATTATCTTAATAGAAAAAAATTTTTTTCTGAACAACGCAATTTGATACATAAATAATATTATTAAAATTCTGTGGTATCTGTAAATATTTGGAACTACTTAAAATGATTCAAATGTTCAATGTTAAAAATTACAAATATTTATGCTATAACATATTTTTTTGTCTTAATAAGTTTACTTTACCAAAATTACTAAAATCGTCATGCGCTTAACAAAAGCACTGCCAAACCATTCCATGTATATTATGCTCAAATTAATTTATGTATGTATGTCTGTATATATTTTTATACATATGTATGTAAATATGTATTCTTGTAGCTTGTTTGCTTTTCCGTAGCTACTGTTTTCTTTGAATTTAAATTATTATTACATAGTCTTCGTTTTTGTTATTTTTTTTTTGATTTTTTGTTTGTTGGGTAAACATGCAGACGCTGACTTGGTCAATATTTATGCTGTATGTATGTATTTGGCTTTGTATGCATATTTTGTTGGCTTACATTTATGAATTGTTAACACTGAACTTTAATTGCTAGGCTAGGTATTTCTTTATTTGTTTAAATAGAATGCATTCGTATTTTATGCGCCCACTACACATATGTATATGTATATGTGTAGTACTTGTTTTCAATTGCCAAATTTTCTGTTTTCATGTTGTTGTTCAAACATGTTTGTTACTCTGTTTATATTATTATTCATATTTTGCATTTTATTCGTTGCTTGCAATTAAAAATATTTCCATCTTTAATTAATTTCCGCTTTGCCGTGTTTAGCTTTAATTTTTTTTTTATATTAAATACGCGTTTATGTGTGTGTGTTCATCACATTTTTCTGGTTATTTTTGTTACGCTGTTTGATTTGCATTCAAATGTTTTGGTGGTGAACATCTGACTGGGCTCGTGTGCTTTACATTGCACCCACCTCACACATACACACAAGCATGCGTATGTGTGTATGTATAATGATTGTGTTCACTTATCGTTATCAAATGTGTAATTTTTTTTGTGCCGAGATGTAGTACGAGTATATTTGTTTGTAAGCTTGCTTTGAAGTCTCAGTCACTTGATAAATATAGAACAGACATGTTTATAAATATTTGTTTTTTATTGAAGACCGAAGCATTTGCGAAACCACATCAATTGTTTTTGTTATTTGTATTTATTTTTGTTTGGGAATACATACATGTGATATCTATATATACAACTTTCAGTTAAATACGTAACCTTACCCCCTATTGCCATGCACTTTTCACTTCCTCATGCCAGTTAATATTTTACTAAGTTTTTTCAATATTTTTGCTAATTTTTTATTTTAACTGTTTGATTCGTTTCCAAATCTTCGCACGATTATTCTGTATCATTAGTTCAATTTTCATAATTATTTTCTTGCGTAATTCACCTGCCTTGGATTATACTCGTGAAACTTACAACATTAACAACAATTTAATAATTTTCTTACGCTATTTTCATTCGCCGCATTTTTCTACATATTTTTCCATTTAATTCTTAAAAAACTTAAAGGCATTTGGTGAATATTAATCCTTATAATTTATAAAAAAAAAACAATACTACATAGTTTTTATATAATTTTAGATTTGTTTTTAAATATTTAGTAATTCGTTTGATAAAAAAATTGTAATTAATTAAAACAAAATATATTTTATATAATTAATTTTTAAAAACTTGTAAAAGTTGTTTTTATTTGTTTATATTTTTTTAATTAATTAATATTCGAAACGCACCAGTGCCGTAAATCAATATTAAGCACTGTTCCTGGTATTTTTTTATAAAATAATCTAATATATATTTTGTTGCAATTAGGTGAAATTATATTTACAGTTGCTTATTATAAACTAACATTAAATGAAATATATTATTATGCTTTAAAAATTGTGTAAAATTTTGCAACTAAGTAGTCACGTCCAAACATGTTCGTAACGAGGCAATTACGAAACGCTTTGTTCCCCATTTTACTTACAATAGAACAATTAGCTAATTGCACAATTAGTATTCAATTGAGAAAAATTTGATTTTATAAAAAATTGTTATTCTATGCAACTCTGTAAAGTGTGTTCAAATAAAGAAAATCGGTTTCTATTAATAAAAATTTTCATAATGAAAATATTTGAAAATTGCAATTTTTAATTCAATTGTTATGCGTACCTCTTTGTAAGCAAAACGCTATAAAAAATCAAACGTATTGCCAATAATCTCACAATCAAAAAAAAAACTTTTTTCAGACAACTCTCAAGTACAAACCACAATTGCCACAGCTAATTGACCTATTTGAACGTGGTTATAAGGCTTCTTTACAGCACATTTATCTCCAAAGTCTGAACAGTAGATAAAAGTTCTGTTGAGGAGAACAAGAGATACTCAATACATGTGAAAAGGCTCCTGTTAAACTGTAATACCTAATATCCGCACAAAACTTGTCAGAGCTCTAGAGTTCGATAAAATATCGCCTTGTGACATAAACACTCAGATTTTCTGTAATTTGGTACACAGGCTAAACTTAATGGCTTAACTGGCCACTTATCCTTTGAATTATGAAAGAGTCCGGATCGCCAATGAACTTTGGAAAGTTATCATCTCCAGATTGCTACATATTTTAATATTTTAATTCAAATTTATTCGGACACAGAAATAACTCCATTTGTGAAAGTGATCGATAAAAGCCATTGTCAGCATTCTGCATATGAATTGTATAATAAGCCGTATTTATCAGTCATTATTATTAGTATTTCAAAAACTATGTAGTACAGAGGGTGCTCTACACGAGCAGTCCATTGCTCGCGCCGTTTTTGGTTTTCGAAAAAATATCCCTTTTCGGTTTGCTTTCCCCACTGCACTGCTATGTTGACACATTGCTTTACCATGTTGCCACATTTGCCCGAAATAGTTAAATTTAAACAATGAATTAAATCTTACCAACACCAAAATTGGGCACCATTAGACTTTTTTCTTCTATATTAACACTTTGATTTTTTAAAGTAATTAGTAAAAATTTAGCAAAAAAAAACAGTGCCTGACCTTGAGTGTGCTATAACTTCAGAGTAATTTGTTGGAAGTTTTCCCATCGGCACATCCTGTCTAATATAATATAATATATTGCTTTTCTTAGAATTCAAGTAAAAAAACAAATACATTTTATTTTAACAATTTCAGTTTAGTAAATTAACAATACACTATTCTAATGAAATATTAAATTTTTACAAACATTTCACTGAAGCAAAACGGTACTAACACGCAATAAGCCGCATTAAATAAACTTTTAGTGATTACTTTCGTTTGTTTTTTTATTGTAACATATGCCTTGTAATTTATGCCTATTTACACAGATAACAGTATTGAATGAATATTTACAGTGTGCACATTTTGGTGGCTCAACTACACATAAAACTATATTAAACTCAAGGCATTTATCTGGCTATGTTCCACAACGCTCTGCGACAATTTGCCAAACAATTTAACGCACACAGCAAAACCCCGTTGAACAACACATTGACCATTGAAATTAACCTTAAAATTATATTGCACCATTTTTATAATAATTTTAATTTTCTTTTTCTGCAATTTTTTTTTTTCGCTAGTCGATCAAAATCAGCCAGCTCAGCCGCACCCCACTTGACTTTTCCAGCTACACATTCACCACACACTATGACGCAATATGTTGACGATTGCTATAAGCATTGGTAGAATACCGGCGCACCACCAACTCCATGCCGAAATGCTTGGACTGCCATTACAACCGTCCGCACCGCAAATGGAACAGTGCAGTTCCGAATCTTCCAGACTGTCTGCACCGCCATTATTGCCGCCTTTACCCTTACGCTTCTTGTTTCTTTTATTCTTGTCATCCTCATCGAGGTTCGCGTTACGCGCCAACTCTGGTGGCCAACCCAATTTGTTGCCCAATATTTGACAGGCATCCGAATCGGCGGTGTCCAATTGACAAAAGCGTGCGGTGACCATTTTGCCGGTGTTTGCTGTAAAATATTCACAAGTGGGTGGATTAGGCGTTGTTATAGGAAAATGAGAACAAAAATGTATGCCTTCGCAGGTACAGTTTGAAATAAAAGTATTCAACATTTCACTTACGATCTCTGGCCACCACTTTTTGGCAGTTCATTAGCGGTCCATTACTAGCGCCGGTATCGAAGTACGCAAATCGATTTAAGTCGAAAAGCCAAGTATTGGTTGTTCGCATTTTGTCTAGAGTACATTCCTGTTAAATGAAATATAATAGTTGTTTATAAAATATTTAGAAACAAAAAGATTTAAATAAGACCAAAGAGATTCGTTGTAAGTTTTGATGAGCTGTTGAGAATTTTAGAAAGGATAGGTAAAGCGAAAATAGTAGTAGTAGTTACTAGAAAGAGCTGATGAAGCTCCATTTCTTTGCGTCCCAGAGCTACTTTTCATCTGGCGGGTCACAGAAACTCAAATCCCGCTGTACAAGTAAATAATTTTGTTAACTTAGATGGCTAGGTTGTTATTAACAGTCTACGGTACTACAGATAAAAAGCCGAATTTTATTGGAACCACTACATATTCGTTACCGGTTAGAGTTTTTTTCTGACCTTCGATGATTTCTGATCTCTAAGGTATACAATACTAGAAAAATTAGAAGCTTGGAAAGCTTTTAGTGGGTCAGTAGCTTGATTGAAGTAGAGCTATGCGATCTTCGGACTAATGTACTCCCAGTAGTAGAAAAATCCCCTATATGATAGAAGTATTATAAAATTCCCTATAAAATCGATAGTTGATAACTATCGATATTCTATATATCGTTTCGTTATGTCAATGAAAAAAGTTGATTTTTACAAAAAACCCTGAAATTCTTGTTTTACTATGTGATTTTCCACAATACGCCAAATAGTCGTTTGGAAAAAACAAAAAAAAAATCGCTCGATATATATATATCAAATCGATACATTAAATTAAGTTATATTTTCCACTTATAAAATTAAAAAACAAAAACATTTTTGAACAGAAAAAAAATATTTGAAGTATAGTAAAAATAAATGCATAGTTTTGGCATTAAATTTAAAGTTTTGTTTAGCATAATTAGAATGATCCGATTTAGGTCAAATATTGACCACACACTGCGACAGCCAATTTTCACATACTTCCTTTGAAGCAAAACCAGAAAAATCATTCGCTATAGATGGACAGGTAGTAATCACTTGTTGCCGGGTCCATATTATAAAGTGGTACCATATAAAGCTATCAACCAAACTTCCGGAGCTTTTGGTAAGTCCATATTGAAATGTGTGGCGCGGGGGTATCCCACTGGACTACGATTGCTTTCCTATTTGTCAAAGCTGGCCGCTTTTAAACGATTGCTTTCTTTAGACGGTCTAATTATTGACAGTGCAATGCCAAATTGAGAGTATGGTTGTAAGGGTGGAGCTCATAGGAGATGATTCCCAGCTCATGAGCAATCGAAACAGTTTTTACGTGGCGATCGGACTCGACAATTTTCATTATTTTACCAACATTTTCGACAATAGGTCTACGAAAGCATGGCACATATTTGATACCAAAATTACCAGAAGGGTATTGACGAAACCACAATTTCAAAATCGAAGAGAAACTGTAAAATATGGCGTATTTTCGCTTTGTTAAAAAATGCTCAGTCAAGCAATTACAAAAATATCTGAGAAGTTTTTAGTATGAAAAACTATCTTTCCAGCGCCATATAGCGTAACCCGACTCCACTATTTCCACCTATTGGAAAAATAATGGATTTCTTTTTACTCGACCTAATATTCGGCAAAACTCAAACCGTTCGCAACGGAAAGAAGATAATGTCATTTACATTGCATGAAAAAAATATTTATATGTACCTATAGATGTATTTATACAATACAATAAACTTTTTACATATACGAAATCCAGAATTTGCGCAACTTATCTGCACTTGAGATCGTAAATCACTAACAGAGCAAAACAAAAAACCTAAATCAACAGTTAATATTGATAATAGCAAAAAAATGGGATTCAATGACGATTTTCCAAATACACATATATACACAAGTACACAGATAAAGAGTTGAATGTGATTGTAATAAATACCTTGGCACAATTTCGCAAATAAATTTTTTACTTAAGCCAAAATAATCTTGGCTCTAGCTGACCTTGTTCGTTTGTTTACTTATTTCTATTAACACATGTACATATTTGTGTATGTGTATTTGTATTTACTTTTGCAAACGACAACCGGAAGGCTACAATGTCCATAATATCTATGACGTCTCTGATGTTTACATTTATCCATTGTTGATCTTACTATTTTTACAGTATTTCCTTTCCAAGTCTTCTGTGCTTTCTTTACTTTCATTTGGCACGAAATGACACACATGTGACTGCGCCTAGAAGCCGGCTACACATCTTTATGCGCTCTTGTCGCTGCATTTATCAATTTGTTTACTCGCTGTGGCTGGCAGCCACAATTGTTCAATTCTCAATTAGTAATCCAAACAAATTGTATTGTGCTTGTCGTCGTAGTATGGTATCTTGGCTAAGCGGTGGAAGGCTGAAGAAGTCGCTGTGACGGCGTAAATAACTAACGACCTCTTCCACAACTGATGGCCACTAGCGCTTAGGCGCTGGCGCATTGCCAATGGCGTTTACATGAAACAGGAGCTTAAAAATATATAATCTTCGAGAAACTAACGCAATTTCACTGGCGAAAACGTTGTGAGTAAATAAAGAAGTGAAAGTATATATAGTTGAGTGTTGGAGGCGAGGATTTGTGTGTTTTTGAAATGTGTCACAAATGTTTTGTGTAAGAAGATTATAATTTTCATTCTTGTAGTAATGTTACAAAAAATCTTCAGTGGTCTGTACTAATCTGTAGAAAAATCGGTGAGAGTCAACGATCTTTAGATAGAAAAATCTGTGCGAACTTTGTGTTAGATCAATGATCTTTAGAATAACAAAAATATTTTTCACTGCAAAGTTGTAAACGGTCTGTATTTTCAGCAATGGACTTTTATTCTTTCTAAAATGGCGTTAGAAACACCAGATTTCGTACTGAAATACTTCTCAGACAGTTTTGTGATTGCTTCTCCCATTAAAGGAAACAACGCAAGTCAGGCGGCTGAAAAATTAATAATGTTTATGGTCCAGTTTTTTTTAATAGTGAATCACATATAATTTTGGTTTCGTCGACTCCGATCCGGTAATTTTGATGTCCAAGATTCACCACGCTCTGGAAGCCAATTGTCGAAAAAATTGATAAAATAATGGAAATCGTTGAGTCCGACCACCATGTAAGGACTGTTTCGATTTCCTAGGAGTTAAGCATTGCACAAAAAACGGCCTGGAACCATTTAAACAAGGCTGGATAAAAAAAGAAGTTCGATATACAAGAATGGGTATCATACGTGTTAACGAAAACAAATCTCACGGACCTAATTTTCTTTTGCGAATTGCGGTTGAATGGCAAAACATTTATCCATTTCTGAAGCAGATACAGTTACTGGTTTTGAAAAGTGGGTCAACAAAGTGAAGAAAACAATCGCCCAGAAATCTTGGCCAATAGAAGGGGAATTGTATTCCATCGTTCTGCCTTAAAGTCCGGACCGGGCACAATGTGATTGCTACCTGTTCCTGTCTAAGGCGAATGATTTTGCTGGTGCTAAATTCATCTCAAGAGAAACTTGTGAAAATCGACAGTTACAGTTTTTCCAATAGGGACGAGGGTTTCTATGAGAGTTCTTTTCATTTTCATGCTTTTTCCTTCTTTGTTCTTTAAAGTTAATTATTTTGACAGTTGCTTGGTCTCAATCTGTAATTACGTGCAACTTTCGCCGCACTGAGTTGTAAAGGTCATGCTTTCGTCGGTACGTATTTTATTAAGATAATAAAAACGTATTGCTCACGAACAAATTTCAGGCTTTCTGGTATTGTTTTAATAGAAATGTGAAATATAATTTCGGTAACTCTACTTCAGAACGCTTTCATTTTTGACCCAAGATTGATTCAGATAAACGAAACGAACTTAAGACCTTGCACAATAACCCGACAGTCGAGCTAGGTTATATGAACATATTGTCCTTTGATTGTGATCCTGTAATATTGTAGAACTTCAAAAAATGTGTATTATTTGCTGGACGAATACTAAGAATACCAACTGTTGAGTGTAATATGCTATTAGTTATCATATATTGAAAAATAATATTATTTTGAGACGCATTTCTTAAGAGCTATTGTACTGTCGTCCAAATTTTCCACTAGCTCATTAACCATCCGCATTTCCATTCTGGCATGTTTTATCCACAACATAAAGTACCTAAGTGCCTCACATTTAAAATTCCTGTAGACTTTAATTCAGATTTCCTAATCGAATACCGTTTTTCTATGTGTTTTTAAAAAAAAAGTTACGAAAACAAAAATAAGAAACGTATTATATAATATGGATCGGAGACACTAGGCAAATTCTTGATTTATATAGTTTTGGAATTTTTGGAACACTTCTCGCATAACTTACTTTTGAATGTTTGTAACATCATCACATTCACTCAACTCTTTTTTTTCGTTCGAATTAGAATTTATTTTTTATAATCAAGTATTTTTAATAACATTTCTTCAAAATTTTTTCGTAGTAAATAATTTCAAGAGCATTGTGTTACCGCAGGATTAATATCTTGACTTCTCTCTATCTTAAACCCCTTATATTTGTAATGGTTGGCAAAAAAAAAGCTTTGATCTAGAGTGTTCAGCAAAATATTTCTACCGAAATTTAAAACCTGATAATGTTTCCAAAAAAGGCGCAGTTCTGAAACACTAAAATTTATCATTTTATTTTTTCATATTAGCAATTCCTCCTTTAAATTTCAGACAGACATATTAGCCCATTTAGATATTTTATTGTTGTATTATAATTATGGGACTTACCTCTGCCACTATGCTTTGATTGGATTTTAAGTTCTCACAACTTGGATTATCGCTGGAGTCACAGACAAAACATTTAATTGCCGCACCTGTTGATAGGTTAAATATATGCCAAATTTTCGAAAACCATGAGAGAAAGAGATATTTGAGAATGTAGAGAAAAGTCGTTGAATTTATAATTTTTTGTTTACTCGAACTATAAGCATTTCTTTGACGTAATTATTTGTTATATTTGGATAAAAATATTGTATAATAACAGCTATCAAACTGTTTACTATTATTTTATGTATTATACGTATATTATGTTATGTGAGTATTCTCTAAAGTGCTTTAAAATATTTCCGATCATTATTTTGACGTAAATTTAGATATTGTAAATTTATTTATTATTTTGAAAAATTATGACAAGGCAGCGAAACTTTAATATTCAGATTACGATATGTTCCGCATATATTAAAAATATGGTGGTAAAAGGCTATCTGCCTTACCACTAACCGAAAAAACTAAATACGTAGTATACTGAATTAGATCAGCATCTAATGAGGTTTCGAAATAAAAGACTGAAGCGACAAATCAATGAATTATTCTAATTTCTAGTGATAGTGATATGTGGATTATTTTGTTTATGTAGCGTTAGATAGTGCCTTGTAACAATCAGAAGTTATACTTAGAAACTACTGTGTGAGGGATGGAGAGATTGATACGAGTACAAGAGTACCACCTTCAACTTACATTGGCTACGCTAATAAACTACAGATTTTTTATGTAGACTCAAACAAGTTTGCAGACTCGTTGAGTGTATTAGTACTAGTTCCCCCTCTTGGACATGAACTGAGTAAAAAATTATTCAGAAGTTCTTTATCGGTGTTATATGTATTAATTTCATTAATTCCATTATTTCCATCTCAACTTCTGGCTTTCTTCATTCCGTTTTTGTTTCCAACCACCAATTCGTCAATTCCGTTTTTCTGTCCCGAAAAACCATCCGCAACTGACTGATATAGTTACCCAGTTATACCATTTCCATTCTAACCGCTAGCAACAAAAATCTAGCAAACATGCTTAGCACATGGCTTTACTGATGCAGTAAGAAAAACTATACGAGATGTGATACAGAGTTGTACTATTAAAGAACTGATATTGAATATAAGGCGAATCTTTGCTAGAACGTATATTTTTAACAAATTTCTTTACTCTTTTTTATTACACGTGGATGAGAATAACATCTCTTTAAGAAGCGCGCTGCTCATCAAAAAATATGAACGGGCGTAGATGAAGCCGCCGGCAGCTTTTGAGGAATGTATAAGTATCTAACTATTCTATATGATATCAATTATCAAATATCACTAAATTTAATGCAAACATATATATTTATAAAATTTTTACTAGACCTATTATATGGTTTACGTATATTTATGCTTTTAACATTACGAAAGACTGCAGTCATCTTTCGAAGCAGTTTTAGTTTTAACTTCGAGAAAATTTTTTTTCGGCTTGGCTTCAGGGATGATAAACTAAGTTTACTCTATAATTCTTCTCATAAAAACCGTAAAATTTCAACTTATTTTTTTTTAAGTTTATTTTCATTAAATTATTTTATTTTATTGCTCTGACTTTTTTCAAATTTAAGTAATTTTATATTGCTTTAATGATTATGGACTATTTATTTTTATTATTTCAATAAATTAAATTTTTTTACGTATACAATTTATTCGTAATATGTACTTCGATGTTTAAAAATTAGGTTTAAGTGTGTTATTTTATTTAATTGTATTTTATATTGTTTGACTGATTTATTTTGAATTATATTTTTTAAATTTATATTATTTTATATTTTCTTTTGTTAAAAGTAGTATTTTGTTTTACATTTATCTTATGTTATTTTTATATATTTTTTATACGGTTGTATTATTTGTTTATAATTTTATTTATCATATTTATATAGGTATATTATATTATTTATTTCACAAATTTCAATTTTTTATTAATGAAAGCAATTTGTTAGCATCCGTATCTTTGTTTTAAGCAATAGCGCTTTCGAACACACACTAACTAACTAACCATTCGGAATGCACTGCAACAGCAGCAAGATAACCGGCAAGATGAGCAAATGTAGCACACTTGTAGGCGCGTTGTAATAACTGCACATCGCGTACACTTTTTAAAACACACTTGCACTAAATAAAAATTCCAGAAAACACTGAACGTTTTGTTAAAAGTAAACAGTCGTTGATAAAACTTTTGTAAAAAATTACAATTACTTGTAAATTTTCAATGAAACTAAGTGGCACACAAAAGTATGCTTCTATAATGAATACGACCCACTAAGCTGCTCAGCGCTAAGTCGCTTCACTACGCAACGCTTCAACGTTTCGTCCGCGTTAATAATCCTTTTCGTGTGACAGCGTTTTGCAAACTGAACTCGACAAAGTAAAACAGCAGCTGAAGGCGAGCTCCAACGACCGGCCACAGAGTCGGTCGTGCGCCGCAAGCCGAAGTGTTGTGTAGGCGAGCGTGCGTGCGAGTCCTGTCGCCTTTGCCACGAAGTTGTGAGGAAATTTCGCAAAGGCAGTAAGTAAGTTGCAAAGCAAAGCATGAAACAACTTTAGAAGTCGCTTTGTTTTTGCAACAACGACAATAAGGAATTTTTTGCGGTAGTTTAAATAAAAATTTCTCCCTTTCTTTGGTGAACGGAAGGACGTTCGGTGAGCTGGCGACGGCGACACAACTTGCAAGCAGCTAAAAGTTGCTGTGGGAGTTGTTGAGTTAAATTCGCTACATTTGTAAAGGATTCACTGCCAGTGGCGGCTATGACGACAGCGACGTCGACGACAGGAGAGCAGCGCGCGGCAGACAGCGACAGCGGATGTTGAATGAAAATAAAAGCGACAGCGATGAATTTATGTCGTTTATGGTGACGTCGCAATTGACAAGCGGCGATATATGGCGCGAACGAGCGGCCGGATAAGGGGAAAACAATTGTAGCCCAAAGCAAGACAAAGTTAAGCAACGCGGAGTACTTTGAATATAGAACGACGGCGCGTCACGAGACGATAACTCTTTGTTTCTATGTTTGTATATATATGTGTGTGTGTTTGTGTGCGGGTGCCGCGGCAAAGGAAATCGCAAAATTGTTTCGAATTAGAAAAGTTAGCAAAGTTAAGTGTATGAAAGTTAACGCCGCATTTTTGCGTTCACTGTGGTTGCGGGTACTGTGCCGACAGTGGTGGCGTGTAGACGGCGACGCATTCATGACGTTTGCTGGCACGCAGAGTGCGCAACAATGCGAAATGGTTGTGAAGAGAATTTTAAACATTTAAAAAAGATTTGATGTTTCTTTTCATAAAAGTTTTGGAACTATGAAATCGTCTATCAAAATAAGTTTAGATGTTTTAAATAAAAGAGATTGCGCTCATAACTGATGATACTTTAGAATTGCATGTAGATATATAAGAGTCGAAAAAGTAGGGCTTCTGATTTCAATTACGGTTTGCTGAGACATTTAGCCTTTCATATAAAAAATATCTTTCTACGTATCTCCTTGGAGCTATTCGACATTAAAATTAGTTAGTTCAACCTGTCTTCACCAATGGTTCTGCGGTTACTATGACCCAGAATAATAATTGCGTATTAATTTCAACAGTCACAGCAACTTATTTAAAATATCAGATCATATACCGTCTCCACAGATGTTGTAAGTTCTGCTAGCGAATCGCACGCAGAAATAAAACGAGTTAGGAAAATGGACGAAAATATGGTATAGACTTACTCATAGAGGGACATATGGAAGAAACGCTGTAAAAAAGCTATTCGCAGAACGAAAGTAGAGAAAGATAAATCTGCATAAGCCAAGTCATCGACAAAAGCTGACGTAGGCAAATAAAAGTGAACTGATATTAGTTATAACAAAATAGTCATACATAAAGGTACACAAATAGAAAGCAAGGACGAATATCACACATAGAACGAGATAGCAATACAGAAAGCCCACAGCCGATAATTTTTTATAAGAGACAAAGATGGAATTTTGGAATCAGACACCACTCACTTTATACCATAGAACCTCCTCATCAACTCTCCATGCATTCCAGAGCGAAAGTCATTATCTCTGCCGCAAGTAAATTAGAACAAGCGCGCTTAGTTTAAAGTCGCGCAACCCCACCCCGCCCCACAGCGTGATGCCGAGAGCTTATTTGTTAAGTTACACAACATTATATACATAATACATATGTACGTAACTCAATCGCTCACTCAAATATTGCCACACAGATGGATTGTCAGTTGACATGAGTTTTCATTAGCTAAACACCCGCTGGCTTTGCCTTGACTTGTCAGCAAGCGACACACACAAACAGACATAACTGTATACAATATCTAAGTATTTTACAGTTATATTTGCCGCTATTACCGACTGCTGAAAGGCAAACGCATTTGATTGACCTATTCAAATGTTAAACGTTTCGAAAATGCTACAAGCAGACATCGGCCTACCACCACCAACTGGCGCATACCCCTCATGGCTGAGCAGTGATTTAAATGCAACGATTGTGAGTGGCATATATCTATATGTGCATGTGAGTGTGGGTATGAAAATACTCTAGAATTAGTAAAAAAAAAAACGGAAATACTCGGGGTGCCGACTATAAGGTTTACGCGGGCGTAATAGCTGTACAATATATACATATATAGTAACTGTGTATATTTCAGAGCGTGTTTGTATGTGTCTATATGTACTATATATAGCCACTAAACCGTTTTAAGACTCAAAGCTACGGTATGCCATTGAAAATCTAGCGCATAAATATTGCATTCCAATACTCGTTTGGGTCCTAGAAGGATTTACTTGACTTTGCCACAACTCGCATGCGGCTGACAGGTATCAGTCGACGCAAATGAGGTCAGTTAAATGCTTGGCAATGGAATTTTTATGTGCGATTGCAATGGAAAGCTATCGTCGCTTACAATATTCAGATGTATTTCAAAAAAAAAAAAAAAAAAACTAACAAAAAGCAACTGCAAGAGAACAGAAAAAGTCGAAAATAGTTCAATTGAAAACTAAATCGGTCAGCTCGACAATTTGAAATGATCGTATACAAAACCAAAAGTGCACAAATTTGAATTCGAAACTCTTAGCTTACCAAGTGGGAAAGGCAAAACAAAAAAAAAAGCAGAAAAAACAACGAAAAAAAATTTAACAAAACTCAAACAAATCTACAGCAATCAAATCAAATGCAGATGCACATAAAAATGGAATATGGAATATATACCGTTAAATGTAGCGCACTCTAAATGCAGCCATAAAAGTCAAGTAGCTACCTGACCACTTGAATCTCGCAATTGCAAATGGTGAAATGCTTTTTTCACTTTTCATTTTCATTTTTGTATATTGCTACCTTTTCTACCACCGTTACTCACTCATATTGCACATGTAAGAGATTTGCGCACGAATACAAATAGCACAGACTGTCAGATCATTGTAATAACCGCAGAGTTTACGCAGCTCAGATGTGCTCATGAAAGGACTTAAAATTGTACGTGTCTGTGCTAAGTCCCTAAGTGGTGCACACTTACATACTAATATTCACCTATATGCGTTGGAAAGGTGAATAAAAATTGATTTGAGCGATTTTAGTTTGTTTGTGTGAATGCTGAAATGAAATTTTATGAAGGCATATCGAAAAGTTATTGGCACTCGGATTTAGTATGAACACTTTTTGCGTGATTAAATTCAAAATAATATTTTTGTTAAACGTTACCTTAGCTGTCGCTAAGCCTTGGAGAGTATTGAATCGAACAAACAACTGGTATAAATGAAAGATGCTTGTATAAACAAATAGAGATAACATAACAAATCGTTATACTAATTTAATGAGCCATTTAATAAACTATCAACTGAATAACTTTACTGTCGCTTCCTCATATAAACTTTTTGACAAGAGAGCCGAGCTTTAACTTAGCGAGCGGTCTTCAGCACTTGAATTCAGTTTGGAGTTCTAAAGTGACATAAATTGGGAATGCGATTTATACGACATCAAATCAAGTCTCCTACAAAAGTTGGAGGAGAGTGGACTGATTGCCCTTTACTTGGTCAATATCTATTTGACATGTGTGCCGGTCGGATAGCTGAGAATATGACGCCTAGCTTCTACTTTTTTATGGTGCCAGCTTCTAAAACGGCTGAACGATACACTCCATTACTACGGCATATAACCAAGGACATCTCCATAAAACCTTAAAACTTCTTAGTTTCTGATATTAAATGAACTTTTTACTGTGTTTTTTGGAAGGCCCAGAACATATCTTTTTCAGCGTGGTCAAAGGATAGGAGCATAGGAATAGAGGACAAGCAAAGTTTTGGTTGTACCATTTATTTGTTGGAACAAATGTCAAGAATGTCGAATGTATTCAGAATAATGAAGTCTTTACCTTACTTTAAAATCCTGAACCCAATTGCGTAGGGGTAACTCTAATTTTACGACTTGAGCCGTGCTACTCATCTATAATAGGTAGTGGCTTAACTTACAGAGCATTATACTCTTTAAGGAAGTTCAAAAACGTGTTAATGGCCCTTGTTGTTTCTAGGAGCACATGCTCTCTTATTCAAGTAAATATCTGCAGGCATGGTTTCAGCGAAAAAAATTTAGTTGACCCAACCAACTCAAAAAACTCAATAACTGGCTCTAATATTTACATTAAACATACTGAAAAATAATTTTTTCTTTTTATGAAATTCCTCATTGCTATATACTATCTCTTCATATTTTTGTGCTTTAGCCAGCCGCTCATTGTTTAACATTAGCAAGTTTGCAATGCATCCGCTTCCGTTTTGACTGCTCTTAGATCCTCACTTCCGTTCTTATCGTAGCTTCTCTTCATAAACAAACATTTGCCGTTATGTGTAAACGACAAGTGATATTGACAAATTACTCTTCATCACAGTCAACTTTTTTTCTTTTTTTCTGCTTATTATTCTTGCATGCTCACGTGTTGATGTCAGTACAAGCGGTTCCTCACTCCCGTTGCGCTTGATCTAGATTACTCAACACTCAACGCAACTAAAGTTCAGCTAGTACTTACATTCATCTGTCTTGTGGATTCTACTGTCATATCTACTCATGAGTACGCGTTTTATTTGTAAGCATTAGCTCACCGCTGGCTGACTCCTCGCTGTGTGTACGGTAAAAAATACTTCCAGCTACATTGCATCACAAGATGCTTCTCAGCTAAAAAAGCACCATGGGTGTAAGTGACATGGAAAATTTATAATTTTTCGGAAATTCTATTGCGTGTCGTGTCTGCACTTGCCAAGAGCATCAGCACAGCATTTTTCTCAGAGTGACTTATATTTCTTCAAGTGAATGTCTTTACATATGTACTTGACTATATGTAATATGTATATAATATTGTCTGCGATGACGCGTTCTGAGTCACGCTGCAATCCGAAGATTAACTGCACTTTAC